GGGTATAATATGAGTTGAGGAATGTGAGCATGGTATGAGTCTCGTGGAGAGATTCTGTAATGCCATGGGATGTGTGTATATGTTGATGTTGAGGGTCTAGAGTTGGAGGTTATCCTGATACTCTAATAATCATCCAATCTCAAGTAAAGAAGGATGAATTATGTGGTGAGAGGGGCAGGAGGTCCTGGTCTATGTGTCGGTTTTGGACATAATGTTGAGGACTAACCTTGTGATGGTATGGAAGGCAAGAGGTCCTGATCTATGTGTTGGTTTTGGACATAGTGTTGAGGACTAAGAAGGCAATTGTGGAAGCAGTTTCTATTGAGTATATCAAAGTAATGGATGAGTATCTATGATGCAATTGTTGTATGATGGTATGAGTGTGTCTGACATAATTATTATATGAGGTTTGTTAAGTACATCAAAGTAAATATGCATGTTTTATAAATGATTGGTTGCATGTTAGCTCACCCTACTTGTTTGTGTTTGTGTATGTGCGATGATCGTATAATTCATTATACGGAAGCAGATGAAGGAATGTCGTCTGACTCAATGCCAAAGAAAGGAGAGATAGAAGAATTCGAATTATATTTATGAATTTATAGTTGAAATCTAAGTTTAAAATATATATATATATATATATATATATCAAGTATAAATTTTCAAGTGTAAGATTAAATATAATACTTCAATATATAAATTATGAATTATCAATTATGAATTATTAAGTGTGAGAATTTGAGATTTTACCGTCACAATTATAACGCGTTGGCCTACAGATTTTATGATCTATTTAGTTTTTAATTAAATTATCTAATAAGATAATTTTTTTAACATGTATGATGAGATACTAATACGCAATACTTAGTTTAATGTGCAATATTATTATCAAAATAAATACAGTTTTTAATGTAGAAAGCATAATTTTCGCCACTCAATACTAAGTGATTTATTCATGAAATATTTAATAAGCGCATTATTAATTACAAGCTATCCTACATTAAATATCCAATAACATGTATAATATTATTGTCTTAAATAATCTAAAAAATATAATTAAAAAATTGCGAAGTATTCAACTATATATAATATAATATATGATATGTATTTGACAGTTCGACAAAGAATATGTAACTTAAAGCAAAATAAAAATTATGGGAGAGACATAAACACATTTAAGTTTATAAGATTCTTTTATAAAAGTAGAAAGAGAAAACTAGAATTAGATATATGTTTTTACGTTACTATTGAAATAAAAGTGTTAGAGTTATGTTACATTTAAGTTATTAAATGCTTTTTGAAAATTGAGATTTTTTTACTATGTTGTTTTTAAAAAATATATTTGAAGAATTAAAGATGAAAATATATTCTATAAGGGATGTAAGATTTATGAATATATCCTAACAATATATTTTATATGTTTGAAAAATAGAGAAATATTGGAAAATAAAAAAAAAATAAGTAGAGAATTCCACGAGTATTATTATAAAAAATGCATTTTTTTTTGTATCGTAGTACTAAATTGTCCTTATTAAGTTAGTGTACGTCAGAATTTTCATCCTTGTCTCAAATAAAAGCATAAATAAAAATAATGGTTTATTGTCCTATCCACAGTTTTTTAGAAGATGAAAACAATCATGACGTTACTTTTTCATATTGAAGACTATTATTATTGAATTCATTTAATTTATTTAAATGTCATTAAGGAAATTTAACTACAAATACTAGATTAAAAGTTTAGTTAATAAACAAATAGTTTTGAAGTGTACTGTATTCATTATTGAGGAAGTTGTGAGAGTCTTATGTCAAGTTATTATTCAACATAGTTTATTAGTATTTTAATACTACATATTATACTAATCTTATTCAACTTGAAGATAAGAAAAGTATAATAAATAATTCTTTTTTTCTAATGATCAGATTGAAATACTATTAAAATGATTCCACCTTATAATGCCAAATTGTTATTTGAGTTTAGCCTAAAAACAATTTAGAGAAAAAACACTTGAATTAAGTTAAAATTCAAAAAATCTAAGCAAAAGTATCAATTGACTTAAACTTGGTATTCATATCACATTCGAAAAAACATGTGTATGTGATTATTTTTCTAAAAGTACATTTTAATAACTAAAAACGAATACAAGTTGTGGAGTCCAATTCAAAAATAATAATTTAACAACAAAATTAAAAATTACTTAATAGATGACAAACTTAAAAAGTAATTAGTTTTTTAAATTTTAAATTCCATATAAACAATATAATTAGATTATATATATATATTTTATATATATATATATATATATATATATATATGTAGGAGCACAAAAAACTTAATTGTTTTGTATTTATAAATATTAAAATATTTTTCTCTCTGTTTTTTATACACTTTTATTTTCATAGTAAATATTTTGTGTGTTCATTTTCTTTCATTCTAGCTCTTAGGATACATACAAAAAAGGATACGTGTCGAAAGTATTTTTATAATTTAAAATTTCAGAAGCACTACGAATATATAAACTATAATTAAAATAAAAAATATTCTCTTGGCTTTGCACTTTTGCTTGTCATATTCATTAGTAATATATTATGTCTTTACTAAAATAAAGTAAGTATTATAATAATTAATTATTATTATATGTATATGTCGGTGCCTTGTCTGCCAGCAGAATTTGGCAAAACCATGGGTTGCTGATGATGTTGTTTTTGCTACTCAGATCTTGAACTTTTCGAAACTGCTTCTATTATTTCCTTATAATAATACGTGAAAAGTTCAATATTAAAATAAATAATAAAAAAAAAAGCAGTCCAGTGAAAATAACTCACATAAACAGTTCTTGCAATAGTTATGTTATATATTAATACTGAGAAACAGAAAAAAATAAAATAAAATAAAATAATTTTTTGATTGCTAAATGTGGAAGGGAATATGATTGATTATTTAAGTAAAGTCTCTTATTTCAATTATGTACATTAAGGTTAATTTCAAGTGATTAAACATGTGAAAGTAGAAGCAAAGAAAAAAAATGTAAAGGCATGTTTTATTTTTTTTTATAAAAATAAATTAATTTTATTTTGAAAAATTTAATATAATGTTGTCTTTAGTTGGTGAAATCACTAAGTAAAGTGTGAAATTAGCCACGATGATGAAAATGAAAGAAGTAAATGAGAAAACATCCCACTGTGTGTGTCTTTTGAGGATTATTTTGGAAAACAAATTTAATACATTAATAGATTTGGATGAGAATTTTATTGTTGAATAGTATTAAACTTTCTTCGAAAACTGATTTTAAAACAGAAAAAATAACATGCGAATGAAATATGACAAATTTAAATTTAATATGTTTTCACCAAAAAGTATCTATTTTATAGTTTTATACATTTTTCTTTCAATGTAAGGTATACATTCTTTAATCAGGATTCAATTTATAAATTTGTTTACCTAATCAGGATTCCTCGAGGAAATTATTTCATTGAAAATCAATATTTATCACTGAATTAAAAGGCATAACTAATAATCAAATAATTAGTGTTTAATTGTTTGAATTTGATTATCACTCCAATTATTTTATATCTATCTTTGATAATTGATAACATAATTTAAACGAAAATGAAATTAAAAAGAGAAAGATATTTAGTGAGAATTGTCATATGATTGATATTTATGATACGTAGTAGAATGCTTTAAATGAGTTTATTTTAGGTTTAATCATTTCACTAAGTCCCTTATTTACATTTTCGACATGGAATCTCAATTTGGTCCCTTTTCTTTCTGGAAATATCAATTGGGTCCCAAAATATTTATGAAAAATTTGTAACAATTGGATCTTTCGCGTTAAATTGTCTCCACGGCGTTAGTGTTTGTATCGATGTGGCACGTCTGTATGTCAGCTTTTTTGTCTTAACTGACGTGGCTGACATGAAATCACCTTGACGTGGATAATTCAATTTTGGACGAACCCAAAAGCAGAGCAATAAACCCTAAGCCTTGCCATCTTCATTGCCAACAGTAATCATAGCAGAGATAAGAGATGAAGGGAGACGATGTCGCCGAAACCTACTTCCATTTGCCAAGCCCGGTGGTGGCCATGGGTGGGCGACTAGGGGCACCAACGGAGACGTTGACAGAACCTCTGGTGGTGGCTTGTTCTAAGGTGGAAGGCACAACGACATCCCCCAAGTCGGAGGGAAGACATATCTCACAGAAAAAGAAGAGGGGAGCAGCACCACCGGCTCTAGGAAGCGCCATTGGCCCTAGGCAACGCTGGCGGCAAGCTCCACAGTGGCGACCACGCGATGGTGGTGGAGAGAGCTCGACAGAAACCCACTTGAAAGATGAGTGGGTTGATATATTGTATTGCGAATCGCCTGCATCATTGGCAATTGGAGCCCAATGTTTCCTTTTTTATAAGGTGATCTGTTTCGAGAGGAAAACATTAATAAAAAATTGATAGATTTTTCTTTCAATGTAAATCACTGTTTAGTTTTTAGAAGTAAAGAAACTTCATTTTTTTATTCCAATGTCCCATTCATTCTGAAAAATATTACTTTAGATTCCAGAAAACTCAATCCACAAGAAATTAACGAAATGTAGAAAGAAATACCCTAAGTTCGGACAACCCCGAAACCTCGTTACTGGATATTAACTCCTATTAATTTGTTCTTAAAATAGTTTGTATGAGCCCACTACTGAGTTTGTGAGAAGTGTTTGTGCAAAAATTACTTTCCTACTTCAAAACTTTGTATCAATAGTGCTCTTCCATACTTTTCACGCAAAAAGCAGTATATAAAACAAAAATATATCAACGTTACTGAAAACCGCAACACGACTCATCCTTGGTAACATAGAATTTTCCAAAAGGAAATGCAATTGATAAATCAAATCATAAATTCAAAGATAAGTTTAAATCAGAATGTAGGATAACAATACTAAAAAACGTGCACTGACAATTAGGTGCAGAGAAATATCAGAATTTATTTACAGAAGTTAACATGCATTACGCCTAATGGGATCCGAAGGTGTTCTCTCCCCTGTAAGTCATGTAAAAGAAAGCCATCTTTATCCTTATTTTCCTCATAATAGCGGACATCAGAGCAGCTGCAACAACACGAATGAATCAGTACATACTCATTGCTAAAAAGGTAAAAACATCATTTGGCATGACTGGATACTTACCAGTTGAAGGTAGTGTGTCGTTGATGAAAACAAAAATAGCCTTCTCCACCACCATCGCGTGGTCGCCACTGTGGAGCTTGTCGCCGGCGTTGCCTAGGGCCAATGGAGCTTGCCGCCGGCGTCTTCCCTCCGACTTGGGGGATGTCGTTGTGCCTTCCACCTTGGAACAAGCCACCACCAGAGGTTCTGTCAACGTCTCCGTTGGTGCCCCTAGTCGCCACCCATGGCCACCACCGGGCTTTGCAAATGAGAGGTGTCGGCGACATTCGTCCTCCCTTCATCTCTTACCTGCTATGATTACATGTTTGGCATGAAAGGTGGCAAGGTAGGGTTTAATTGCTCTGCCTTTGGGTTCGTCCAAATTGAATTATCCACGTCAAGTGCACTTCGTCAGCCACGTCAGTTAAGAAACTGCTACAGGCGTGCCACATCAGACAAACACTAACGTCGTTTGGAAGACAATTTAACGGAAAGGGATCCAATTGTTAAAATTTTCATAAATTTGGGACCCAATTGATATTTTCAGAAAGAAAGGGACCAAATTGAGATTCCATGCGAAAATAGGGACTTATTGAATGATTAAACCTTTATTTTATTGTGTAACTTGTAATAGTTTATACAAATAATGTTAAAGGAAAACTATACATGATAAATATTTCTATATCTACTTTAGCATATATATGTATATATATAAATAAATAAATAAATATATATATATATATATTATCCTTCTATAATATATCTCTATACTTTATACCTTCTATCGCCTTATTGCATCGCTTTACTACCTAATGGCACCTACCTACTCTTGGCAGGATTTATGCCCTAGTTCATCAGATGTTCTTAAATCAATTATGAGAACAGTAATATGGATAAGTTAATTTTTACTGCAGTTAAACGATTTTCCAATTGTTAAATAACGCAATTAAAAATACCACGACACAATAAAATATAGTGCAATTACTAAATGGAATGTCATTTAGATAAGTTATTGTTTTACTCTCTCTTTTTTCACTATACCTTCAGGTGTGTTATTTCTCAAAAACCAAACGTATGAGGACCATCAAACAAATTGTTCTTGGGCCATGCTATTGGCACTTCCTTAATTCCTATTTCAACTACCAACTTTTTATTAATCTATACTTCAGTAATTCCTAATCAAATAGTATAGTTTAAATATAAAATTTTTATATTGAAAATAAATGCACTCTTTTAAAATCTTTGGTGCATTACTGAAAATATTATCCAAAAATACTACATGAATATTTTTAATGGATATATGTAAGTAATGGATACTTGTATTTATTTATCCACTTACTAATGAGGTGGAAATGAGTATCATGGTACTGATATATTCCCTGCTTTCTAATAATTATTAATGACTTTTATTTAAGTTTTTTTAAAAAAAATCAAGTAATTAAAATAAAATTATCAGTAGAAGAGATATTACTAATAAAATAATAATTTAAAATTTGATTTCATATATTTTTATTTTTTATTTAGACCTATATAAAATTGAATTTATTTTAAAAATTATATTTTTTTAAAATTTATATTTTGACATAACTCATTTAAATTTGTTTTTTTGCATTAATATTTTATTGAGTAATTTGGTTTGAATTGTACTTAAGATTAAGTCTTTTTTATCTAAGTTTATATTTTAAAAAATTGCTTTTAAATAATTTTATTTATTAAGTCTAAGTAAACCTTACACAATGGGATTATTGTAATGTGAAATTTGCTTTTAAATAATTTTATTTATTAAGTCTGAGTAAACCTTACACAATGAGATTATTGTAATGTGAAATTTGCTTTTAAATAATTTTATTTATTAAGTCTAAGTAAACCTTACACAATGGGATTATTGTAATGTGAAATTTGCATTCATTTATAAAGTATAAATTTGTCTTATTTTTAGTTGATGGAGAATCCCCAACATACCTCTCACGTAAAGGGATATACATTTCGAACGCGAGATTAGACATTGATGGATAATTTGATAGCAGCTCAACACTAGGTGACACGATAAGTCTAACAAACAACAAATATTTTAGTATATGGTGGCAGGATTAGTCAAACAATCAACAAATCTAGCTATGATAGACTATAATCCATGATTTTAATGTCATGTTAATAAATGGACTTCAAGTCTAATTCAACCTTATATAATCGACTTATAAGATGAGGTTTGTATCCACATATATACTATAAATTCACTTTATCTCTATCGATGTAAGATCTTTAACAATATACATTTTTAAAAAATAAAATATAAAAATATCTACATTTACACATAGATACCTATGAATATAAAAATATTTACAAATATTTTTCACAAATACTCGACGAATATTAAAACATATTTTTAGACCAAATAGATAGACACTATTTACCCTATTTGACTCAATATCATCCCATATTATGAACTATATATTTCATATAACAAGTATGAAATTTAGCATATTTTCTTATGCATAATACAATTAAAGATTATCTATCAAAATAACAAGGTAAAATATCTTATTAAATAATATCTTATTAAATAACTATTGCATGATATAAAATATTTTTGAATATAAATTTTGAAATTATTTATTACCATTTCTACTTGAAAAATGATTGCATAATCTTATTTTACTAAATTATTTACTTTTTACATGTTTTTAAAATTAATTTATCTGTATCATATATAAAGGATTCACTCTTTTTTAGGTCTATACTTTATTTTCTAATTTTACTCTAATAAGTAATTTTTTAAAATTAAAATAATTAATTCCAAAATTTATCTTTTAAGTAGTATTTTTCTGTTTTTAATTTAGTAATTTAGTCCATTTTTTCTAAACTTAAATATTTTTTAAAATTAAAATAGCTACATATAACAAAAAATTGTTTACAAAATAAATAATTTTTTTATTACTATAAAAAGAACATAATTCGCCTGGCATTTTCACTCATTTAATTATAATAGAAATGTGAAGCACATATGAATTTGCTAGAGTAAAAGAACCACAGTTTACATTTACTTTTTTACTAGCAGAAATACTTACGTTATTGGGATTGTGTATTTGATTCTTTTATATCATAATATTTTATTTTTTTAAGACAAGATCGTTAAAGTAAACATCATTTTAAAGTTTAACGGAATGTATAACCGAAATAGTGTCTAAATCTGAATTGTCTAAGATAAAAAGTTTTAAAAGCTATAACTTAATGTTATAAAGAATTACAATAGAGCGTCTAGTAACAATAACGTCTAAAAAGTTTAAATCGTCTAGAATAAAAATAAAGAACGGTAAACACTATATATTAAAATTGTCTTAAATAATGTAAGTTACTCAAACAGATAACACCTAAATGATAGTACATGTATTATACATAAAGGCTTAGGATCATCTATCACTTTCAAACATGTACATTGTAGTACTTCTTTGTCTATTGTATTGTGCTTTCTTATTTTGTGCAAACAACTGCCTTTATTCAAAAGTCTGATCAGGATCATAATAACATTAAGAGATTGAGAGTTATTCAAGGAATGTTTCATTAATGTTTTCTGCCTTCCTTTCCGCAACACAGTTCTTTTTCCAAAACGCAACATAGCTTCTAACATAAGGCTACACCTCTAGAGAAAAGTCAAAGCTTTGAGTAAAGAATCTTTTTTGAAGAAATCTATATAAAGAGGACTGCATGAAGAGAAGACAAGAAGAACAATTGTTATAGAATACACTCACGCTACCTCTTTATTTAAGCTTTGTCTCTTAGACTTGTTCTTTGAAAAAAAAAAGTTATTTTCAAGTTTTCAAAATCTTATTGTATTGATTTCAAATCCTCTATAAGATAATTACAAATCATGTTCTTGTATTTTGCAAAACCATCTAGTCAGTTAGACTAGTTGATACCAAGAGTAGTTATACTTGTTCTAGTCAATGGGTTAGTTGTATACTACGAGTGGTAAACTTGTTGTAATTATTTATGATTAGTGGAACCTCTTAAAGGTATTTAAAGAAGAACTGAATGTAGTTTAGTTTGAAGCAAACCAATATAAAAATAAGTGTTTCTTATTGCTTTTATTTCTCAAAAGTTTTCCTAAACATTGTTTTATAAACTCATTTAACTATCATTGGAGATCATCTAATCCCTGAAAAGGAAATTAAACATTATTTTGCAAAAAGATTTAAAACTCTATTCAATCACCCCTCTTTCAACAATTTTATTGTGTTATAGTTTTATTAAGTTTAATTTAATATTTACTTTGTAAATTTAATAAATTTATTTAATTATAATTTTTATTTTTTTTATTTCTAATATGTAAAAACTTTGAAAAATGTCATTTTTGAAGTGATGGTGGTGTAAAAATAGTGAGATTCAATTATTTTATTATTAAAAAAATTTAATATAAATAGTTTTGTAATGAATAAATTTTATTATTTTAAAACATAATATTTTTTTTAGATAACTAATAAGTTTTTTCGTTTTGTATAAGTTTAGAAATAACGTAAAGTAAAGAAAGGTATGTAACTTTAGAGTTTTGTTTTCCCCGTTAATCACTCCATGAGAACTATTAGTATACAAAAACATCTTTTTCATGCTCCTCATACTTACATTATCACTTTTAGATCTTTGACAACAATCCCTACATATTAAAGTGATAATCTTCTTTTATATACTTTCTTTATCTTAAAATACTGTTCATACTTACAAGAACTGCACAATATTGTTTGTGTCCCATCATCACAAAAAATTACTCGTAAAAAATCTCACTTTCCAAATAATGTTTCAGTTCGAACAAGAAAAACTTTGAACACATTAATCCCTCAAACGACTCTCCTCCACTGCACGGACAAACAAGAGTTCGAAAAACCTTTCCTTCTACTATACGGACAATAGACAGTAACTCATGCACAAACGCAAAAAAAAAATAAAAATCGCCCATGTTCAACATCACAGAAGCTGCAATACGTAAATAATAATAATAGGAAACGAGAAATTTGAATAGAAAATGGAGAAATATATGAATCACAATCTCACTCTATCCTCCACCTTTTGGGGAAGGTAACTACCTAACTAACTCTGTGGCTTAAAAAAGAAACAAAATTGTGTGTTTGGCATTGGTCAAATGAATT